GCTATTCCTCTACCTCCCCCTCCTCACCAGCCCACAGCTTCTCAGCCTCTTGCAAATACGTAATTTTTAAAACAGAATCTCCCACCCATGAAGCGATCGCTTCGCTCAAGGGTTTCTCCAAGTTCTCAGAATTTCTCAGCTCTAGTAGAATGTTTTCTGCAGCTCCTCTGATCTTCTCCTCAGAGACATTGATGGTGTATCTGTCCAACAACTGTGATGCAGCAACCAGGAAGCGGCCTGTCAGGACACGTTTCTTAAGACTGTCATAATGAGCGCCCAGAAAATTGTCGGGGATGCCAAACAGACATGTGTGCTGCTTCTGGCTCGGATGAGATATCTTGCAGCCGTAACACAGATATTCGTTGTGGTCCCGAATTGCAGCGTACAAGACGCGGGTGACGAGGGACTTTACAATGTCAGAAAACAGTTTGAACATACCCCCGTCCAGCTTGTCGCTACATTCCGACAGGGGCAGGACAAAGCTTCTGATTGGATAACCTTTCACCTAGAACTGTCAAATCGAGTTTGATGAAAGCCGGTATCTATACTGTGTGTAATATCCTTTAAGATATTCTTTCTATTTCCTTCCACTACAGCTCTACTTCCTTCAGTAATTCGGAGCTCATGTGGCTTTTTTAAAAACATTTTTAGCCTTTTCGTCATTTGTTGTCTCTCGGATGGCAGTTTGCAGCAAATGTTTTCAATTTAGAAATTGAAGAAAAATACAAACCTCACTCTGAGTGACTTCAGCGTGCCCTTGAGCAAGACGCCGAACATCACAATGCTGTGGCGACACTGCTCAGTGGACAGTTGGTGATGATAATGATGACGATGATGGCTTTTCTTGTCAGTTCTCAGGTGTGAATGCTGAAGCTGTGAAATTGGGTGCAAAGAGGGATGATGCAAGAAAAAGACACAGGTGCTCAGTTGCCTCTTCTTTTCTCCATCCCAACTCCAAAAATAGTGTATATCCACGTGCACACCGACACACACACCTTTGTGCACAACCCAGTGTCTTAAGTGCACACAATCATGCACACATTCAAACATTTTATGTTTGTGACAAAATGAAAGAAAGTCAATTGCTATCTAATCAGTTTCATCCACCTTTTAAACTCCTGAAAAAGACTAACATCACATTGGTACCTTATGAAGAGGCCAATCAGCTATGATGTGTGACTGCTTTTCTCTTCTGCCCTGCTGCTCCTGACACTCATTGTCATCAGTGAGACTAATCACTTTGCAAATGCACATGCTAAACAGGATGATTCTCTTTCACAGACCACCCTCAATCTCTGAGCTTTGGCTTAGTTTCCTCATGCTGACAGTGACACAGGGAAACTGTCACCTGTAATCTCAGTGGTATTAAATGTACAGTAAGTTGTCAACCCATCAAGTGAGGTGCAGTTAAGGGTCGGAATGTCCTAAAATGACAGTGAACGACAACATGACTTTAGAAAAGTGTTTGCATGACTAGCTCATCTCATCTCAAGCAGTTTAAATAATCAAAGCATTAATGATCTTTAATTCATTCAGTACAACATGATTAGACATTCATTTAATACTTTAATAATCAAGTACCTGGTGATATATCCCTATGACCTGGTAATCAAATAAAATAAATGATACTGTAATTGTATATGGGGAGGCTTAAACAACCATGAGATGCTACATTTCAACTCTTATTATACCGAAGTGTGAAAAACTGTTTTACAGCATTTGAGCCACTGGAGTTATGCTCTGTATTGTAGCGCCCTCTTGTGATTACTTTTCTAACATGAACATGATGTCTAAATTGTTTGCCATTCACACACCACTAAGTTTTTAATTTCCCCTAAAGCATCTTTAAGGTTCTTAAAATAAATAATGCAGTCCTGTAGTTCTTTAGAGCTATATAGCCACTCATTCAAACTGAAATATGCACATCTTTTAGACACATTACCCCTGAATTCAGCATAACAACTTACAAGAATATAAAACAGAGAGAAGCAGCAAATTGTTACAGCTGAGAAACTGGAGCCAGAGACTCTTTGGCTTTTTTGCTTGATAAATGATTTAGGTTATTTACTGATCATGGATGAATCATCTCGGTGTTACATTGAACAATTTGGACTATAACTTGTTTTGACTTGGCCACAGTTGGGTTGGCGAGGTTATTTCCCCAAACCCACCTTACAAACCTGTGGCTTTCTCCTACACTCTCTGATATCTAATGTTAAAAGTGGGACAGGGGATATTTCTCTTTATACACTCTCAAATATTAGTTTAATTAATGTGTGATAATCAATTCAGCCTTTTGAGTCATAACATAAAAAATCTTTTAAGAGGTTTAGATTAATTCATTTGTGTGGATTGTACCTGCATTTTGTGGAATTTTAATTCAACTGAAGGTTATTATTTTTAAGCACTGCAGAGGCATCACATAAAAACACAAATTGTTTATTTTATTATTATATTTGATTTGATTTATTCTTTCAAGCATGTAAAGACAGTTGATATGACAACACACATAATTTTACACATATCCAACAAATGCTAATCTGGTAACAATTTGCTTATACCTAGTACATGCTTGAATGGAGTAGGAAGAAGTCAGACTTATCCAGTCCTACCCCATGACATCATCTTACCATCATTGGTTTGCAAGCAGTATCTCTACATAAATAATTCTCTTCTACACCACACAAGTAATATA